TATAATATAATATAATATAATATAATATAATATAACATAATATAATATAATATAATATAATATCCACAGTTCAGTATGCAGTACTTTATATAATAATATAATATAATATAATATAATATAATATAACATAATATAATATAATATAATATAATATAATATAATATAACATAATATAATATAATATAATATAATATCCACAGTTCAGTATGCAGTACTTTATATAATAATATAATATAATATAATATAATATAATATAATATAATATAACATAATATAATATAATATAATATAATATCCACAGTTCAGTATGCAGTACTTTATATAATAATATAATATAATATAATATAATATAATATAACATAATATAATATAATATAATATCCACAGTTCAGTATGTAGTACTTTATATAATAATATAATATAATATAATATAATATAACATAATATAATATAACATAATATAATATAATATAATATAATATAATATAATATAATATAATATAATATCCACAGTTCAGTATGCAGTACTTTATATAATAATATAATATAATATAACATAATATAACATAATATAATATAATATAATATAACATAATATAATATAATATAATATAACATAATATAATATAATATAATATCCACAGTTCAGTATGTAGTACTTTTTATAATAATATAATATAATACAATATAATATAATATAATATAACATAATATAATATAATATAATATAATATCCACAGTTCAGTATGCAGTACTTTATATAATAATATAATATAATATAATATAATATAATGTAATATAATATCCACAGTTCAGTATGCAGTACTTTATATAATAATATAATATAATATAACATAACATAATATAATATAATATAATATAATATAATATAATATCCACAGTTCAGTAGTCAGTACTTTATATAATAATATAATATAATATAATATAATATAATATAATATCCACAGTTCAGTATGCAGTACTTTATAATATAATATAATATAATATAATATAATTTAATATAATATAATATAATATAATATAATATAATATAATTTAATATAATATAATATAATATAATATAATTATAATATAAAATCCACAGTTCAGTAGTCAGTACTTTATTATAATTATATAATATAATATAATATAATATAATATAATATAATATCCACAGTTCAGTATGCAGTACTTTATATAATAATATAATATAATATAATATCCACAGTTCAGTAGTCAGTACTTTATTAATAATATAATATAATATGATATAATATAATATAATATAATATAAAATCCACAGTTCAGTAGTCAGTACTTTATATAATAATATAATATAATATAATATAATATAATATCCACAGTTCAGTATGCAGTACTTTATATAATAATATAATATAATATAATATAATATAATATAAAATCCACAGTTCAGTAGTCAGTACTTTATATAATAATATAATATAATATAATATAATATAATATCCACAGTTCAGTATGCAGTACTTTATATAATAATATAATATAATATAATATAATATAATATAAAATCCACAGTTCAGTATGCAGTACTTTTCAGAAGGAGTTTCAGTAGACTGAACCCTCGTGGTCATTTTTTGGGTCCACCTCAGTATACTGAACATTTCAGTATGGATACTAACTTCCTGGTTTTATGCAGTATGGATCAGAGCCGTCCTTTCAGGAAATTTATTGTATTTTACCCACAAAGCAGTGCGACATTAAACGTAAATCATCATGTCACGTGCGCCTCCAAATCAAAACAAACGAGCGTGGATTAATTTAATAAATTTTTAATCTAGAGTTAAAGTCCCGACTGAAATCACTACTTTAAATGAACAGAAAATATAACAAATATCTGCATTATTATAAAACCTTTCCCCCTCTATTTAAATAATGATTTCACTATTTAAATGTGTCTTTATTGGCTTATTTTATATTCTGTATATTACTGTCTTTCATTTGTTCTTTATGTACTGTATGTTATTTAGTTATTTAATCTTTTACTTGATTTACATTGTGATATTGTTTTTTGTTTACCTGACTGTATATGAGCATTACTCTTCTTGAATAAAGATAAACAAAAAAAAACAAAAAAAAAACTGGTGAATGCGGCCGGTTCGGGAAACTTAAATGATGTCACTTCCATACTGAATGAATCAGAAGAAGTAGGAATATCTGCCTATTGAATAGTAGGTACTAAACAGTAAACAGCAGATAGTACGTACTAACAGTATACAGGAGGTACTCACTACTGACAGACTTAAGAGGTACTTGGTAATTCAGATACAGCCAGCGTCTGGATTAAATCAGATAAACTGACACCTGCTGTCAGAAATAAGCAACTGCAGCTCAGTGCCAGACTAGAAACGCAAGGTATTATGGGTAATCCAAAGGTAACTGTCTGTTAATGCCCCCAGGATGTTCTTCTCCACTCTTTACTTCACATTGACATTCATTGATACAAAGACACATATTCTCATCATAGAGTCCTATGGAGGACTCTGATGCTTCATCACATCTTACCTCAGGAGACTCCGCCCGCCTCTGCGTTATCAGACACAGGAGCAGTGACCTTTGACCTTTGAGGAGCCTGATTTTGACCTAACCTCTAACAGTGTATTTTTTAGAGCTTGCTTCAGTATTTCCGTCTTCCTCCGTCGCTCCGTCTGTTTGGAATCGGAGGGTCGTCGGTTCAAGTCCCTTTGTGGACTGGAAGTTGGTCTGGTAGCTGGACAGGTGCCAGGTCACTTCCCGAGTCCTGCCGAGGTGTCCTTGAGCAAAGCATCGACCCCCGACCGCTCCACGCTGACCTGGAGGATCCTGTTGGTATGTGAGGTCTCTTTCTACACTAAAGAAACGTCTGTGAGTATAAATGTTGATGTGTATTCATTTAGAAAGGATGTTGTTTGTATCTATGTAGATCCTAACCGCTAAGCCAGTCAGCAGGACTCTGAGGTGTGCAGGGAGAGAGAGAGAGACAGAGAGACAGAGAGAGAGAGAGACAGAGAGACAGAGAGAGAGAGACAGAGAGAGAGAGACAGAGAGAGAGAGAGAGACAGAGAGAGAGAGACAAGAGAGAGAGAGAGACAGAGAGAGAGAGAGAGACAGAGAGAGAGAGACAGAGAGAGACAGAGAGAGAGAGAGACAGAGAGAGAGACAGAGAGAGAGAGAGAGAGACAGAGAGAGAGGACAGAGAGAGAGAGAGACAGAGAGAGAGAGACAGAGAGAGACAGAGAGAGACAGAGAGAGAGAGAGAGAGAAAAAAGGAGAGAGAGAGAGACAGAGAGAGAAGAGAGACAGAGAGAGAGAGACAGAGAGAGACAGAGAGAGACAGAGAGAGAGAGAGAGAGACAGAGAGAGACAGAGAGAAGAGAGAGAGAAAAAGACACAGAGAGAGAGAGACAGAGAGAGAGAGAGACAGAGGACAGAGAGAGAGAGACAGAGAGAGAGACAGAGAGAGGAGAGAGAGACAGAGAGAGAGAGAGAGAGAGAGGACAGAGAGAGAGAGAGAGAGAGACAGAGAGAGGAGAGAGAGAAAAAGACAGAGAGAGAGAGAGACAGAGAGAGAGAGAGAGAGACAGAGAGAGAGAGACAGAGAGAGAGAGAGAGAAGAGAGACAGAGAGACAGAGAGAGAGAGACAGAGAGAGAGAGACAGAGAGAGAGAGAGAAAAGACAGAGAGAGAGAGAGAGAGAGAGAGAAAAAGACAGAGAGAGAGAGAGAGAGACAGAGAAAGAGAGACAGACAGAGACAGAGACAGAGAGAGAGAGAGAGAGAGAGACAGAGAGAGACAGAGAGAGAGAGACAGAGAGAGAGAGACAGAGAGAGAGAGAGAAAAAGACAGAGAGAGAGAGAGAGACAGAGAGAGACAGAGAAGAGACAGAGAGAGAGAGACAGAGAGAGAGAGAGAAGAAAGACAGAGAGAGAGAGAGACAGAGAGAGAGAGAAAAAGACAGAGAGAGAGAGAGAGATAGCGAGAAAGAGAGACAGAGAGAGACAGAGAGAGAGAGAGAGAGAGAGAGACAGAGAGAGAGAGAGAGAGAGAGAGAGAGAGAGAGAGAGAGAGAGAGACAGCGAGAAGAGAGACAGAGAGAGACAGAGAGAGAGAGAGAGAGAGAGAGAGAGAGAGAGAGAGAGAGAGAGAGAGAGAGAGAGAGAGAGAGAGACAGCGAGAAAGAGAGACAGAGAGAGAGAGAGAGAGAGAGAGAGAGAGAGAGAGAGAGAGAGAGAGAGAGAGAGAGTGGGGAATGACATGCAGGAAAGGAGCCACAGGCCGGATTCGAACCTGGGTCACCCGCTTTGAAGACTACAACCTCTATACATGGGGCACTAACTACTGATCCACCAGCGCCCGACAAGAACAGTTTCTGCCGCTCTGCGGTCAGCCTCATGAACAATGCCCCCCTCGCCCCCGTCATCACGACGGAGTCTCATTTAAGACTTTGCACATTTAATTGTTAAATCATTTTTAGTCTCTCCTGATTGGACGAGCTTTCAGAAAATAACGACAGGACAGCTTCAACATGACCAGGACTTTACTTCACCGCTCGGTGCCCTCCACCCCCAACAAACACAAGCAGCACGCCGCTGCACCGTCAGCAGGATCCAAGCAGGTAGAGCGCCCTCTCGTGGTTAACCCTGTTTTTCTCATGCGTTAAAAAACAGGCGTAGCGCCAACACATCAGAACAGAAGGTTAAAGACGAGATAAAAAATAAAGATGTCTTTATGGGAAATGATTCTATTATGTACAATTCAGAGCGCAAAGAAAAGAAAGAGATGAAAGCATGCCCACGGTGACCATGAGGCGAGCGCTCAGCGTTCAGCGAGGAGTCATTCACACCATCAGGGAGGAGCTTAAAGGTTCAGAGCTTTGTTTCCTTCGTCGTGTTTATTTCACCATGCAACGTGAACCAAGCAGAGCGGTGTCCGTACAAGAGAAGAAGAGCTGTGGGCGAGCTGGGGGGGGGGGGGCTGGGGGGGGGGGGGGCTGGGGGGCTGTGACAGGCCCGAGTCCACTCAGTGCTTTTTTTCTGGGCGTGTCTCTTTTCAGCGAGCGTGGAGGAAAAGCTCTCGCCATCTTCTGTCTGTAGATCCATAGATATATACGGACGACGCCCCCTAGTGTGCGTTTCTGTTCTTTATTGGATCAGCTGAAAAGAGACAGGAAGTGAAGGGAGGAGAGAGTAGGGGGATGACGTGCAGCAAAGGGCCGAGGTCGGATTCGAACCCACGGCAGCTGCACTACACCTCACATAACCGTCAGGAGTGCGTTTCTTTAAGCCAGAGGAATCCTGATCGAAACCTGCAGCCATGAGGCTCCTCATGTTTTTCACCATCCAGTAGTTTGTAATATCAATCGTCGAATATCAAACGGACGAAGACGAAGACGATAAATTATGTTTGACCACATTTTGGCAAAAAACTTAAACAGACGATGATTTAAAACGAGATTAACAAAGTTCAAACTAACTCACTTTACAATTTAACACTGAATCATCCTAGCAGCATGTTAGCTAGTTAGCAGTATGTTAGCTAGTTAGCAGCCTGTTAGCTAGTTAGCAGCCTGTTAGCTAGTTAGCAGTATGTTAGCTAGTTAGCAGCCTGTTAGCTTGTTAGCAGCCTGTTAGCTAGTTAGCAGTATGTTAGCTAGTTAGCAGCCTGTTAGCTAGTTAGCAGCATGTTAGCTAGTTAGCGGCCTGTTAGCTTGTTAACAACCTGTTGGCTAGTTAGCAGCCTGTTAGCTTGTTAGCAGCCTGTTAGCTAGGCTAGCACACTGTCAAACAGATCTTTTTTTACGTACTCGAGGCGTCAGTTCAGAGTTTCACGTTCCCCTTTTCCTCCGTACACAGTAAGTGAAAACTAGGCGTCAATCCTTAATAGGCTATTTCATCACCACTTTGTTTTCATTTAACCAATCAGAAGGCGGGTTAGGGTACGAGCTGACTTTACGTCTACTGACAGCTGTAAGAGGAGGCGATGACAGGAAGGCGTCGTTTGCTGTGTCCCATCTCAGGGGTAGCATCCAAAAACTGTAGAAAACATGGACGTACTCTCAGTGATGTCACCTGTTGTCTTTGAAGCCCAAAGACAGTCGCCGTTAGAGATAACCGTCGGAAACAAATTGAAAAAGGATAATGAGATGGATATTTGTTATTGTACAGTGTGTGCCAATAAAGACATAAAGAGACCAGATTTGTTCTTTTCTGCTGTAAAAACTTACATTTTTATTTGGGGTGTTTAAGTGAGCCAGCCTCTAGTGGACACTCGAGGAACTGCAATTATTTTGCACTTCAACATCGGCTTCATTTTCCACAGAAGTCGCTGCTAGTTATCAGACTTCAGAGGCTGAGCAGACTGATCTGAAATGTGACGATCTGGACGACAGAGGACTTCCTATTTGTGTTGCTGGCTATTCCTGCCCCTCACCGCGTTGCTAAGCATCGCTCCTGCGACCTCAGGACCCCTCTCAGTTTTAACATTTATTTTGTTAGCTTTTTGATTGAGTAAAAACAAATGACTTACGTTTTAAAGTGTAACCCTTGGCCACATATAAGTCGGCCATTTTGTTAGAATTTTGGGATATGTTGGGCCATAGAGGAAAAACTGACACATTTGAAGGACCGGTCAAAATCGGACAGTGTTTGGTGTTTTCATATGCGGCCTTTGAAGGCGGCAGCCCCTGAATTAGGACACAGCTGTTATCTCTGAAAACCTCCGTCCTCTATGACTGTGAGGAGGATCTACGAGAGATCATTAAACTCTCTAGTTTGCACTTTTAGTGGCGATACTAATCAAGATAATCTTTTCTAAGGAATGAAACTGACGTGTTTTTTTTTTCAGTGCTTCATCCTCTGCCAGAAAGAAACGCGCAGTGGAAAGAGTCTCTGAAGCTGGAGGTTAAACCAGGGATTGCCCAGGGAGCAGCACACATCCATAGCACCATGGCAGCAACACTTCTGTACAACCGTCACTCAGGTTTACTGGAAGCCCATGAAGAAAGTTAGTTAGCTGTCCTTGGAAAGTAGAAGAGATCAGAATACATGAAGGAGTCTAATATGGAGTGAAAACATTTGAGGCGTAGCGCGTCCGGGGACTGATTATACACAAATGTAACTCGGCTTTGAGTCTCTTTGTATTATCTAGCGGGCACAGACTTCTCCCTGGTATTTGGCTTCCCCTTAGCTGCAGCGGCGGCTGCTTTGGGCCTGGTCCTGGTAGGCGTGATGCCGGAGGAGGTCTGGGCCGTGGCTTCCTGTGAGGCGCTGCGCCGCATGTTTGTCGTTGTCCTTGGCGGTAGCACAGGGACGGTTGGGGTTCGAACAGAAAGGGGTTGCCTGGACGGACATACCCTCTGAGGGGAGGGGCTATCTGTCCTGCAGTGGGTGGAGCTAAGGCTGCGACGGGTCCCAAACAGGACTCTCAGGGGCATTCGAGGACTACCTGACGGAGCAGGGGCAGCAGAAGGACGAGGACATGAAGAGGAGGACCTTGGGACGACGGGTTTGGGTTTTCTTTGAGTGCTAAGAGTGCTTAGTCCAATTTTCTGATTTCTGTGGACAGGAGAGAAAACAGAAGGTTTATTAATATTTTAAAGAACTGTTCCAACTTTAGCACCAGCATACTCCTTCCTGAAGCGATACTTGACACTGAAACGACCTTAGTTACCTGATACCTGATCCACAAGGGCGTGTCATATTAAGGAACTCACAGTTTCCTAACAACCTGAAGTGTAAAACAAGTTTTAATCATTCAAACTCCTGTGAAGAACTTCAGTTTGGTTGATTTTGTTGCCCTGCTTTGGACAAGGTTTAACCTTTACCGGCCACGTTACCGTGTGTACCGTACACACGTTTCTGGCACTATAGAGCCACGTAACAAGAAGTGTCAAGTAACGTAAGCTAGTAGACCTTTGTCATTCAAACATTTAAGGCTCCTTTATGCTCTACGTATGACACTGACTTTTTGAAATGCTACTGGGAATTGTGGAGGCAGACTGGAGCAGTGTAGCCAACAGTTCAAGCCAGTCGTTTGAAAAATGGTCAAACTTTCTGAGAGGTAAGATGACTTACTGCTGTTGTCATCGGTCATGTTCAGGTCGACGCAGAGGCTACCCGCTTCAACAAGACTATCTTACACATACTCCCACCAAGTGGAGATACAGCTAATATATTTTATTTCTCTATGTCTGGAACATACTCACTTACATATGAGCCACATTTGACCTCGGGAAAAAGAACCATTTAATAAATACAACAGGGTCCTAAGACGCTGACTAGACTCTTCTCCTCTGTTGCCCCCCGGTGGTGGAATGAACTTCCAAACTCCATTGGATCTGCAGAGTCCCTCTGCACCTTTAAGAAAAAGCTAAAGACCCAGCTCTTTCATGAATACCTACTAACTTAATGATGATGGTCTCCATATTATTGATGATGATGATGGTTGTGACGATGGTTTTTGTTTGATAACGACGACTTATAAGATGGTTTCTATACTGATTAGAGCTCTCAAGAACTGCCCTCAATGTTGTGCTTTGCCTCTGGTGACTTCCTGTCAGCACCTGTGTGTCCAATCAGACTCAAAGCTGATCGTTTGCTCTTACTCACATTGTTCCCTTTTTTCTAGATCCTTGCTTGTGTTGTTCTTACTCTCTGATGTACGTCGCTTTGGATAAAAGCGTCTGCTAAGTGAATTGTAGAATTGTAAATAAATAAAAACTGTTGGTACACCTTGCAACTCTACTTCAGAATCAGAACTTGTCACAACAGAAGAAGGAACAGAATCATACCCATTAGAGAAGGATGATGCTCCTTTGGTAGCGCTGGACTCTGGCAGGGAGAGAGGAGAGGGAGAAGCAGAGGCAAGTCCCACTGAAGGCCTCTTTATGGGGGTGACAGGCCTGGGGATCCTGCTCCTGCACTCCTTGGAGCCCTGCTCTTTAGTTGGCTTGAGACGGGAGCTCCTCCTGGACTCGTCTGAGGTATGCATGTCCTCCTCTGAGCCAGTGGTAGACAAAGTTTCAGAAGCCCTCCTGCGCTCTTCGTCCCCAGAGGATAACGACGAGGACGTCCCAGACAGCATCCTCCTCCTCATCCAGCGACCCTGCTGCCTCTGGACCAACATGCGGGCCAAGTCAAGCTGCCTGGCCCGCTGCTGTAGTCGAGCCCGAGCTGAGAGGGAGGAGGACTGCTCAGAGCCTGAGTCTTCTTCAGAGATGAGGATTGGGATTCTGCTTTTGATTTTGGGTTTTATTGCAGCCTGTAGTTCTGATGCAGTCGTTTGAAGCTTTGCGTCGTCTTCACTGGATGGTAAATGTTTCTTAAGATCCAGAGAAAGATCTTTAAGTTCAAGAACAGGAGACAAGACTTCTGGAACAGGCTCTAAAGACTTGGCCAGCACAGGCGACGGACCATTTTCAGTTTTGGGATGCTTATCAGAAGTGGTACCTTGGTCTGGCACGGACTCCTCTGGAGACTTTTCTGTTGTCGGTTCTATTCCTTGTTCTTGGGTGACGTCCTCTACCACTGATGCCTTCATGATGGCCAGGACTTCCCGGTCACTCTCTCGGGCAGAGTGACCATTGGAAGACATGACGTTGAGATGTGATGTCTCTGCAATATGGACGAATGTGCGCTCTACCTTTGTGAAGGGCGGAGAACCAGGAGCGATTGGAGTGGAAGGTCTGAGGTCCGACCTGAGAGCGGGGGACAAACGTCCAGTCTCGGAGGACTCTGGCTGAAGCCCCTCCCCGACCAGGAGGTGACGGGATGAGAGGGCACATGGTGTAGCCAGCTCACCCTCTAGACCATGATCAGCACCAGAGGGAGACTTACGAGTGTCTCCAGGAGAGAACAGGACGAGTGTTTTTTCCAGGTCGGGGTCTGCGTCAGCAGCTGAGGCGTGCTCCCTCTGACCCCTCTGGTCCTCTGCCATGAGGGTTGAAGGTGCAGCGTCCTGGCTACGCTCAGTGCTCTTCTGACTGGCCTCACTGTTTGACTCACTTTTAGTGACATCATCATCTCTTGGCCCTGCAGGCTCTGGGACATCTTCATCCGGTGTGGCAAAGCTCCGGCGCTGAGGTAAGGTACCGGTTAGCATGACGGTGAGGAAGTCGGCCCTCTTGACTTGGAGCTGAGGGAGGATGTGGAAATGCTCCTTCTCGTCTCCCTGGCCCTTCGTCCGATAGTCTGGGGAGGACGGTGATGGGATAATCGGCTCCGTGGGTGACAGCACCTGAAAAAAATACAACAAAACTATTTTACCGGATAAATTAAAAACAATAAAGCATGAAGGAGCTGGCTAAAAAAGGGTGTTAAACTTGGACAAATCCAAATGCATTAACACATAGCTCAGTACTTACTAGCAGCTTACAGACAATGACCAATGAAAACATACTGGAGGGAATTCAAAGTTGTGTCAATATTAATTTAGTCTCTAAATTCACAGTATTGTAGAATTACAATTTCTCAGCATACCTGTGACAATAAAAACATAAAAACAGCTCAAATGTTCAGTTCAGCTCAGTTTATATCAGAGGTAAAAATGTTCATTGATTTCAACTTCTTTTCACAGGGAGAAACCTGGAGCAGAAACCTGGAGCAGATCCAGACCTAAAGCCACATGACGCAACTTTTATTTCTTCTTCTTTATGGGTCTCACTTTAACCTGTAAATCAATTTAGTTGGTTAAAGTTTCACAGTCACAGTGAACCAATTATTCCAATAATATTCAAGCTGAGGTTTAAGGTCTTAGTTAAGTTTGGATTTGGGGGACTCATGGCAAATCACAGAGGACTTCTTTGAACCCACAGTGGAGATGTGGTAGAGTTTTTAAACCAAACAATGACAGTTACTTCTTTTCTTGAAGCACTTCTAGGCTTGAACTGTCCAAAGTCTGAGGTTCAGTGGTGGAGTCACCATGCCAACATTAAGTGCTCTCGTTTTGCAGAACGCCCCGTTAAAGGGTCCTGTTGACCAAGACTTGAACCATACCAACGTTACTGTGTTGAAGGCCAGTGTGCAGCAATAAGCAGATGTCAGACTGACCAACCTTAAAGAGACAGTTTGGTATTTTTGAAGTGGGGTTGTATGAGGCACTTGTCAATAGAAGTTTATTAGAAAAAGGAGATGCTGTCAGCTCTGCCCCTTTAAGAAGAGACCAGTCCGAGTGTCGGCATGGAAGCTAGGCTATACATCGCAGCAGCTGGGCCATGTGATTTAGAAAACCAATGATGACTTAAGTGTTTGCTATATTATATTGAGGCTTGAATTTCCCAGCAGCTAGCCAGTTTGTTTTAGCACTTAGGATGTGTCCACATTCCTATGCTGCGTCAGCCGTATAATCTTTAAACATTTGTTGGTTAAAATTACCACAAACTAAAATCTCAAATTGAAGTTCAGTCAAATCCTACAGACACAGAAGAACACAAGTGGGTGGCTAACGGTTTGCTAAAGCACTAAAACAAATCTAATAAGGCAAATAACGCATCTTTGTTGATTTTTAAAGCAACAATATGAATTTAGTTTAGTGGACTCTGGCGCCAACCAACGGCCTCTGAGGGAAACTGCAATGTCAGAAAACACAGTGCTGTTAGCTCCTCCCCCTCTTAGACAACATGCATTGACAAGCAGCAGAGAAGCGTTGTGAGATACCAAACACCAACTGACTTCCTGCAGCCGGTAAAACTTCAAAACACGAGACAACGACGACTCCACTAACGATGTTGGAGGTAATTGTTCTATTAGATCGACTTTGAGACGACTGTTTGAAGGAGGCAGAGTAACAGTTTTTTATTATCTCTAGCTTAATTATGTGTTACAAACAGCCAGTCGAGCTGGCCGGTCTCGCAAGCTGGCCGGTCTCTCCTTTAAGGGGCCGAGCCGGCAGGTCTCTCCTTTAGGGGGCCGAGCCGGCAGGTCTCTCCTTTAAGGGGCCGAGCCGGCCGGTCTCTCCTTTAAGGGGCCGAGCCAGCCGGTCTCTCCTTTAGGGGGCCGAGCCGGCAGGTCTCTCCTTTAAGGGGCCGAGCCGGCAGGTCTCTCCTTTAAGGGGCCGAGCCGGCCGGTCTCTCCTTTAAGGGGCCGAGCCGGCAGGTCTCTCCTTTAGGGGGCCGAGCCGGCAGGACTCTCCTTTAAGGGGCCGAGCTGGCCGGTCTCTCCTTTAAGGGGCCGAGCTGGCCGGTCTCTCCTTTAGGGGGCCGAGCCGGCCGGTCTCTCCTTTAAGGGGCCGAGCCGGCAGGTCTCTCCTTTAAGGGGCCGAGCCGGCCGGTCTCTCCTTTAAGGGGCCGAGCCGGCAGGTCTCTCCTTTAGGGGGCCAAGCTGGTCGATCTGTCCTTTAGCGGGCTGAGCTGGCCAGTCTCTCCTTTAAGGGGCCGAGCTGGCCGGTCTCTCCTTTAGGGGGCCGAGCCGGCCGGTCTCTCCTTTAGGGGGCCGAGCCGGCCGGTCTCTCCTTTAAGGGGCCGAGCCGGCAGGTCTCTCCTTTAAGGGGCCGAGCCGGCCGGTCTCTCCTTTAAGGGGCCGAGCCGGCAGGTCTCTCCTTTAGGGGGCCGAGCTGGTCGGTCTGTCCTTTAGCGGGCTGAGCTGGCCAGTCTCTCCTTTAAGGGGCCGAGCTGGCCGGTCTCTCCTTTAGGGGGCCGAGCCGGCCGGTCTCTCCTTTAGGGGGCCGAGCCGGCAGGTCTCTCCTTTAGGGGGCCGAGCCAGCCGGTCTCTCCTGTGGCTAATACACTTTCTTTTGATCTTTCTCATACAACCACACTTCAAAAATACACTACTATGTTTTAAAGAAGACCGCCAGCTAAAATGTATGAAAGTGTATCCCTTTGTTGGTCCTCGTGCTAACGGTCCCTCTGGGAAGAAACACAACAGGAACTGGTTTATTTGCCCCCAAAATCATTTTAATGTCATTTTGGTTGTACACAAGCTTTTCAAGATTGTCTAGATTACATACATTGATATAAAAGGCACAAAAAATGCATTGCAGAGTTTATCTTTAGACAGCACGCAGTCTGATAATCAGGTGATTTTCAAGTGTTTCCCTTCATAAAGATTCGACATACAGCCTGTACATACGTCCTAAACCCCGCTAACGATCATGCTATTAGAGATTAACTGCAAACCTAACGACTTTCTACACGTCTGTATATATTTACACTGTCATCATTTACAAAAGGTTTAAAATACATGCTTTACCTGTAAATTATACAAGCAGTACTGTACAATCGTAAAGTGATATAAAAGAAAACGCTTACATGTATGTTACACGTGAAAGACACTCACGGATCGCAAGAGCTCGCCAATCCTCAACACCACGACACAAACTCTGCTGTTATTGCAATAAAAGTGAACGGGCGTTCAGACGTGAATTATTTAGTAACGACTGTGCCGCCGATATTTTCAGGTCCACAACGTATTTAGCTTAGCTTAGCATCAAAAGATATCAATACCGGTTTGTTACCACGGCAACAAAAATAGACCCCTAGACGCTCGTAATGTTATGACTTTTCTCTCTTTCCAATCTAACAACTTTAATCTTTCTAAATCTGATTCTCTTAATTTAACGACTTTTTCGAGTATCAGATATTTTATATTTATAATGTCCAAACTCTCTGAACTGTTTGGACCGTGCTGTGGATTTAAAAATGGCCGACTGCAGGATGGGATCTTTTTTAGTTAACATTTTGTGTGATGGTCAGAGCTGAGCAAAGAGTATCCCTCTACTTCCAGTCTTTATGCTAAGCTAGGCTAAACACCTGTGATAACACCAAATATCATCAACGAGAAATCGTTGGACAAAAAGGTGTCCTTAAATTCTCTGAACTTCCTTTGAGAAAAACGAGAAGTGATGCGTACTGATGGGAGTCACAAACCGTGAATGTGGCTAACGAAGCTAACACGGGGGCGAGTGTTCAACTATAAAGTTTAATTCTCTCGACAGACATCTGTACAATATCACCCTGTTATTCCATAGAGATCTGTGGAGCGTCACGTCTGTATTTGTGATTCATGAGGTATAAATGTTTCGCAGTAACGTGGAAGTGATGATGGTTTCTCAGCGGTTAATAAATGTTTGAACACTGAAGACGATCCGGGTGATGAGCTGAACTAAAACGACGTGAACACAGTTTGCAGCAGTGAGACACCACACTAGATAAGACTATTTTACCTGTTTGATACCACGGCAACACAAAGAGGCGTCCTCAGCACCTGATGGTGAATTCTTGCTTTAAAGTATGAAACATTGCTGGAAACGTCCTTCACACCGTCTACACTGTTGGCAACGTTTCGGGTTCAAGTCCTCTCTCTCTAAAATGTGCCTGACGATCTGAAGTTTAGAGATTAAATCTATACTTTAAATTCTGAATCATTTTAAAACACTTGGTGTTTAAAAGTATTTAAGGACCTAAAATGTAGACAACCTTTGAAGTTTATTTACATAATTGGATATTAAAAGCTGTAGGAACCAGTTCTGTTTGGAGAGTAATGGTAACAAAACGGAGACGAGACAGTTTGTTGTTTTCTGAATTTCCTTCGGGATCAGTAAAGTATCTATCTTCAGCGTCTCTGAGGGAATTCCTCAGACTGGTTGTTTCGGCGATGACTCCGCCCTTTTAATCCAACAAAGTTGCTTTAGGTCCAGAACAGTCTGAGAAGTTGCTCAGTGACATTTGTCGACACTGTAAGCAGAAACGTTGCCATGGATCTGTTGTTGTAAATTGATGGGACTTATGTCCAAAGCAACAAAGGTCACACGTTAAAGTCATAAAAAAGCCAACGTTTGGCTCCAACAACTACCTGGAGTCAGAGATTTCTCTGTAATAGACTCCATGTCTCCCTATGGGAAAGATATTCAAACGAGTGCTCCTCATAGAGCTGGGGTTATTAAGTAACCCAACGACTTCTTCAGCTAATAAACAAAACGATGAAACACGATGTGAACGAATCAGCTCGACCGCTCTGATCCGTGAGTATCCCTTTTTTTAGTAGCAAGTTATTTACAGAAGACGCTTCTCAGTCAGAGGTGAATGTTCGTGTTGTAATTACAGTACAGTGCTGTTTTCAGTCACGTTACAGTCAGAGGTGCGTCGTACAAACATCTCATGCAAAGAGTGGCGATGGACGGTAAACATACCGTCTTTGATGCTGCGTATCGTTTTTTTAAACTCAGAGTATCGTCAGCATAGAAAGCACACTCAAAGCTTTCTGAACCAGTTTGAACATAATGTGGCGCTGTGCTAACGG